CCGCCCAGAGCCGCCACTCACTTTAATCAAGCGCCATCGCCTAAAAGTAATGAAGAGAAAAATAAATCATCCTCTCCTCCTGGCTGTTCGCGTGTGAATGCTGGTCACCAGGCTGGGCAAGTCTCACAAGTTGCAGGTACAAGGGCGATAACCCCATCTATATTTTCCCCATCTATATTTTCCCCATCTATATTTTCCCCAACTCGAAACTCTCCTACCGTGAACCCTCCTCCTGTTCCAAATAATGACATTTGCTTGACGGCAGTTCCTCCCAGAAAAGCATTATTTGTGTCAAGACTGGCACCTGAAACTTCGGTGGATAACATAAAAGGTTATCTGGCGACGAAAGTCCCATCAGTCAACTTAAAGCGTGTTAGCATCTTCAAATGGCTCCTTCTCAAGCTAGGGCAATTTCCTCTTTTAAAATATTAGTTCCGACTGAAAACAGTGATATGTTGTTAAACAAATCACTGTGGCCAATAGGATCCTTAACTAAGGAATTTATCCCTCGTGATCGTCCCCGTAATACCAAGGCAATAGTCTTGTCGCCTTCAAAAAACTAATTGTTTCTTCAGGCCCACTATCTCTCATTTATCAAAATGTTAGGGGCCTAAATTCGAAAATTCGTTCCACTTTTCTAAATTCAGTGAGCACGGAATTTTTCTGTTTGGCCTTTACTGAAACTTGGCTAAAACCAGATCTTCATTCGTCGGAACTTTTTCATAATTCTTTCCAAGTCTTTAGAAATGATCGAGTGAATTGCATTGGTGGTGGCGTATTAATTGCCATATCTGCGTCAGTCCCGTCCATTTTAATTGAATTTCCCACTTCTCCCGACGTTGAATTTATCGCTATTCGTGCGAATATGCCTGATAAACATCTATTTATAACCTGCTCCTATATTCCCCCAAATTCTGATATCTCCATTTACAGGAAACACGCTGCCCTCATTTGTGAAGTGGCCAAGCGGTCTAGACCCACCGATTTGGTCGTTGCATTGGGTGACTTCAATTTGCCTCAAGTCACTTGGTGTAACACTGATAATTCTGGCTGTTTGGTTCCTACTTCAACGTCTGATAGGGCTGTTGTGTTCTTTAGTGAATTGTTTGATCATAATTTGGGTCAATATAATTGTACCCCTAATTGTAATGGTAGACTGCTTGATCTCTGCTTTGCCAATTTTCCCGAGATTTACGTAAATCGTTGTCCACCTTTTAGTTTACCTGAGGATCCTTATCATCCATCAATATGCATTTCCTTTCATCATATGAATGATGGTTTGTTGAAATGCCTTAATGCGCCAAATCAAACTTTTTTAAATAATTAATATGATTTTCATAAAATCAATATTGTATTATTAAAACATCGTCTTTCTTATTGAAAGCTTATTGTCATCGTTCTACAATACATTAAATCTAGCTATTGCTGCATCTGTTCCGATCAAGCATTGTCGACCTCGAAGCAGATGTCCCCCGTGGTTTAATAAGACAATTAAATATCACAAGAATAGAAAAAACTCGCTATTCAAAAAATATTCGAAAAGTGGTTCTGCGCTCGACTATGTCGCTTACTCGGTGGCGAGGCATAGATTTAACTCCCTCAATCATCATTATTACTGCAGATACCTTCAGTTCATTAAATCCTCTCTGTTTGCTAATCCTAAATTCTTCTTTAAATTTGTTAATTCTACGTTTCGATTGCTAATTTCGATTTATCAGCAAACTACCCATGTCCTATAACTAACTCGGTTTCAATACCCAACTTGGTTATTTCGGAAGATGACGTTTTTAAAGGGTTGAGTTCTCTAAAATACAGTTGTTCGCCTCGACCTGATGGAATTCCATCATGTGTACTTAAATCTTGCGCTGTCGAGTTATGTGGTGTGATCTCAAAGATTTTTAACATGTCCTTGTATTTAGGTGTTTTCCCTGCATGTTGGAAGAGTAGTTTCCTTATTCCTATCCACAAGAGTGGAAGTAGACAATTTGTTGAGAACTACAGAGGCATAGTCAAGTTGAGTGTCTTTCCCAAGTTGTTCGAGCGTATTGTAACTCAGCATTTGGCCTTTGCCATTAATTCGTATATTTCTCCGCACCAGCACGGCTTTCGGAAAGGGCGATCTGCAGTCACCAACTTGTTAGAGTTTACCTGTCATGTTTTCAAGGCTTTTTCTACTGGCCCTCGCAAAGATGTTATTTACACTGATTTAAGCAAAGCATTTGATATGGTTAACCATAGACTACTTATCTTTAAACTCCAAGCCTCTGGCTTATCTTTCTGAAATGGATAAGCTCTTATCTGCACAATAGATCCTTCAGAGTTTTGTTTAACTCCATTAGCTTGGATGAATTCCCCGTTACGTCTGGCGTACCTCAAGGAAGTCACTTAGGTCCCATTTTATTTAGTTTATACATTAAAGATCTCCCATCGGTGGTTAATTCCAGCCAGATCTTAATGTATGTTGATAATGTGAAACTGTTTTCCTCCTTCTCTGTTAAATCGCAACCACATCAGCTTCAAGGTGATTTGGATAATTTTGTTGCATGGTGTTCTTTGAATCTGCTGAAACTAAATCTGAGTAAATGTAAGAAGCTTTCATTCTCAAGAAGAAAGTCATTCATTACTCAGTATTTCATAAATTCGCGTAAGTTGGAGGACGTCGATTCGATCACAGATTTAGGCGTTCTATTTGACCATAGGTTACGTTTTAACTTGCATATTGAGCTCTCGAATAGCAAAGCTAGGTCCGCGCTTGGTTTTATAAAAAGGTGGTCCAAAGAGCTTGATGATCTCTACATTACGGAAAGGCTGTACATGTGTTTGGTTAGACCCATACAAGCTTAGTCAGTGTAAGTTTAATTATGAGCCGTTTAATCCGCTCAGAGTCGTTTGCAAGAACCTAAATGACGTCTACCACTTATTCTCGTTATCGGACTCTTTAAAGTCCATTAAAGCAACATTGCTTAATACGCGCGATTTACCTATGTCGTATTTAAATTAGCTTTTATCCTAAAAAATCGTTACGTTTCGAAAATTAATTATTGACAATTTATTATCGGTTGCCAGGCTTATGCATGTTTGCGATGGTTTAGGGGTTCATTTGCAATTTGGTCCTGTACCGGTTGTAAGTGTGTCCCTATGCTGATAGTGTACATGCTTTTTTTTTCTTTTTTCTCTTTCTTTTTTTTTCTTCTTATTTGTTTTATTGTACTTATACTAAATTTTATTATTAATTAATATAAGTTTTGCATTAAGAGCCAATTGAACTCGACTGTTATTTGTTTAGTTGAGTTTCTAGTATAAGTGGAATAAATAAATAAAATAAATACGCAAAATACCAGAATAATAGGCTTCTTTATCATTTACAAAAGATCTATCTTCCATGGTTATAATGAATATTAATTAGGTAAAGGAAAAGGTTTATGACGTTTTTGTATTAAATATATGTCATTTGCGATGATAATCCGTAAGCTTACTTCTGGCAAAACCTTTAAGCCATTGCTGTTGGTTTTCTGCGAACTTTTTTGCGAACCAAATCAAAGTGGTTTTATACCGAATGAAATAAATGGTGAACGGATGAGGCAAGCGCTAATCAAGACGGAGGTGGATAGGTCCAGTAAAACTCCACAGTTAAGCTCTCTCAACTTTCAAAACATCTTTACGGATATTTGCGGCTTTTACCTGTTGTGTGAACACTGTCATTATGGAAAACGACGACTTCGTTATTCGCTAATTGTTAAGACTTTACTTTATTTAAGCGTTTCAACCGCATTACCTGCTGGGAGTAGAATATGGAATCAATCGTCCGGCTGCGTTGGAGCTGTTCCTGATGTATCATTCTCTTTCAATGCCGGTGAACACATAAAATTACTCTATATGGATTGTACAATGTTTTGCTTGTGCAACTTCAGCCATCTTCGACGGCGATCTTTTTCTCATATTGTTATTATATGTGAACCATTTTTGATTGCTCGCTATTGATTCATTTAGAATGTTGTATTTTTGCAATATATCTTCATGGAACTAAAAGTTATATACGAAAAAAAGAAGAGATTTGCTGGCGTTTTTTCAAAATTGTTTCATTTTCTTCTACATTGTGGGCGTGCATATAAACAAATCGCTACCACTTTTTAACCGTGCTTTTTTAATCGACAAGGGAATGTTTGGGCCTAATTTCGATCTTGTATCTTCAATTTTATATCGAATAAGATTAAAACTGCCATCTGGATAATCGGATGAAATTTTATTAATGTCGCTTAACCTAATGAATGATTCAACAAAGTGATAGAAGGCTACCTTGGCACAAGTTCAAACGGTGACAAAAAAATAATGTTTTTAAAAAACGACGCAAGCGCAGTGATACATTTATTCATCATGAAAGGATATATTCATTTTGTCGAAACGTTTGCAACGCCCAGAAGGCGTCACACAGAGACCTTAAGAAGTATATATACATTTGTGATTATCATCAAATTCTAAATCAACTTAAGCATGTCTGTCTGTACATTTGTCCATCTGTATAATGTTTGTTGGTTTTTCACCCATTGCTACTAAACTGCAGCAGATACATCTACAAAAATATGGGCGATATTGTAGTATCTACAAAGATGAATAAAATCTACCACCCTTATTCAATTTTTTAGTGCATCACAGTCTCATTTTTTTCAACACTTTTACACAAACTCCCGTAAAGTATATAAATTCTTAAGCAGTTTTAAACTTGGAATGCATCTAAGAGTACCTGTCTGTTCGTGTGTCCATCTGTCTCAACCGTGTAGTATCTGTGGTACACATTCTCCTGTTAGCGAAAGTAAAGATGTCGCCCTCCAATTTGCAAAAGAAATTGGAAGTTAACTAAACTTTGCAAAGGACACTCCTGGAACATCCACGCGCCTATGCGGCAAAAACTTTTATTTTAAAAATAAAAAAAAAATAGCCTCGCCCACTCCATAGGATATAGCATGAAAATTAAGTTGTGTTACTTTTTTCATCTTTTTTAGAAGAGCAATGACGGGTATAAGATTTTGCCTTGGCTGGATGTACTTTTCTTAGTTGTTAATCTTTGAACTTGTTCTGACTCTAATAATAGCTAGGAATTTCTTAGTCTACAAGAAGTTTTGACGTGCTAAAAACGTAGTGCTCACAAGTGAAGGATTGACAGATATATAACGGATACGTTATGGTGAATGTTTTTTATCGTAGATTATTATATTTGGGTAGATCAATGAATATTGATATTGATTTGAAGGATATTACATAAAAGATGAGGCACGGATATTTACAAAGTACAATAACAAATAAGAGAACTGTAGTGCTCACCGGCGCCACCGTTCGTTTAATACAATTCAAACGAAGGTCTTAACAGCATTAGAAAACAAGACGGGTAGAGAGACGGACGAACAGTCAAACTTAGATTGATTCGGAAAGTTACTCTGAATCGAATCATATATTAAAAATTGGGTCTATGTCAATTCCTTCCACGCGCTTGCGCCGCAAGTGGTTTAGGGTATATATATTTCAAAGTGTTTTCGACACTATTGACAATCAATCTATTTCCAAAGCTATGTTTTTCTGAAATTTTTAAAAAGATTTTCGATACTCTTAGAGCAACCTGTGTAACCAAAATATAATTTGCTTAATAGGACAGAATTGAGTTCCTCGAAAATTTCTTAAATGATGGAATGGTAAAATAGCTAGCAATAGATAATACTAAAGCAATTGGTTCGACTTTCTCTGGAGGGTGAATTTATGAATTTATGAATAAGCATATTTCTATAGTGTCATTGACTCAAATGTCTGTATGGAAAAGCTGCCGACGATGGAAGAAAATGAAATTGAAGTTAAATTAATACCTTCCCAGAGAGATGGTGAATGTTAAGATAATATAATCGCTAATAACGGCGAAAGCACTGCTGGCCACTATACCAACGCAGACAACAGCACTTACAAACGACACTATTGAATCAATAAATTGGCAAGCATTGCAAAGCTTAGATTTAATAACACTTAGCGATTCCCAAGACCAAGATAAGGAGGAGCAAGGACGCGAAGACAATAAAGACATGAGTGAAGAAGATGAAGATTCTGATGAAATTGAAGATGATATCATATTTGAGAACGTTAAGGCAATACGTGAACGTTTACAGGAGGAGCGAGAAAAAAAGCAGCAAGAACAACAACAACAGTATAATTACGATGAGAAAAATGCACAACGAATTGGAGAGAACAAACACAAGCACCGAGCAACGAATCATCATCAAAGCAAAAGCTTACACAAACAACATTATCATCGTTTTCACCACAATCACAAAACAACTTTGGGGGATAAAACTCAGCATAAGCTAAGTCGTTTGCCAACCCATTATGAAAGTTTTCAAGCTAATACCGGTATTGACATATTGACTTTTGATGATCCTATAATGGTGGAAGACCAGCTTAGAGTATTAGCTCCAACGAAAACAGACGAGGCAGAGTATGACGAAATTGATGATGATAATGATGACAAATATCAGCAAAAGACATTTGTTATGGATGCTTCACTGTTTAATGCTAGCGATGGCACCGAAGAATATCAACGCAAACAATTTGCTCAGGACATGAAAAAATTATGGCAAACACAAAAGGGCCCTATGTACCGAAAATGCCCCAGTTAGTAATCAGCGAATATGATTATAGCGAGGAATTAGATCTGACCAAACAAAACGATAGCGATAGTAATGATAACGACAACAAAGAAGAAAGCAATGCCAATGATGGAGTAGTTGTCGATAATCTGAAACTTATAGACGTCGACTATACGGCCATAACACCGAAATTGTTAGATGAGAACAGAAAACCAACAACCAGTATAACGACAAGTACACAAACTCAAACTGACTGGAGCTTACTTAGCAAATTCGATTTGGCCTCCGATCAACCACATCATACTATTGGAGTCCGCAAAAATTTTGGTGCTTGTTTTGCCGGACGCGACAGCTATTTCCATTACAACGATGCCGAAACGATCAGCCAGATCATTAGCTATACAATTGATTTGAATTTGCGCATCAAAACTCGATCAGACAATGGAGTAATCTTATGGACCGGTAAAGTGGGATCAACAGATCGCGATAAGGATGATTATCTATCTTTGGGCATTGAAAATGGGTAAATAAACCTTTTTATGCACATTTTTAAAAAAATAAAAAATTGACTTATTTGACAATATATTTTATTATATATTGATCCGGAGCTGCTTTACATTTCTTCCTCTCTACCACTTCAAAAGACACATATATCTTGATCGACATATAACTTTTCTTCAACTTAATCATATAGGTGGAATGCCAGACGTTCAATATTTTACCAGGCAACGCTACGTCAGCGGCATTGTGGGTTGCATATCAGAAATCGTCTTAGCCGGTGAATTAAAGATGAATTTCGATCCAAATACACTGGGCACAGCGCACAATGTAGAAACAGGTTTACTCTGAAATGGTCTGCCAGCAATACTTATATCCTGATATTAGAATAGAGACTAGAATCTAGAAAACAACGTATTCATTGTTTAATGAAACAATAAAAACAACAACAACTACAATAACAATAATAATTTCCGGAATTAGGAGCAAAAACGTGGTAAAAAAAAAATTAAAGCAAAGATGAAATATTTTTCAGTAACTACTGTGTTTGTATAAAGACGCTTTTATTAAAATGAAAAAAAAAAAAACAAAATTTAGAGAACACAAATTTTATATAATAAGAAGAAAAACTTTAAAAATAATTGTAAGGAAAGTAAGAAAAACTTTATAGAATAGAAAAATAAATCCAATTAAACAAAAACAAAAAAATGCACTTTTACACATAAAACACAAACTGAGAGAAAAAAAAATGCAATACACGAAATACAAGTGAATGTAAGTAAACAATATTTGTACTTAAAGCAAACACACATGCACACTCAATCACGTACAGACACACAAGCTCTCTCAGGTACAGATATACTCAAAGACATATTGCATCACTTAAACAAAACGAAAAAGCCTGTGACTGTCAATATAAACAGATAGTTATATACATATATAGAAGAAGACAAAAATCAAATTTTCTTTCTTTTTTTTCTTTTAAGTAAAATTTTAGTAAAAACTATTTTAGTCTTCTCTTGGTTCGATTTTACTTTTTCTAGATAATTAAACCAAAAACAAAAGCAAATATATATTATGCTAATGATAGGAACTCTTTTGAGGATTTTGCATAAGTATATAATAAATTTTCTACACTGAAAAATAAAGAACCAAAAAAAGTCTAAACTATTGAACTGTTAGGTCCATTTAAATAAAGCTGAAAAGAAAAGACTCATTGTGTATATATACATATATATATATATAGATATGTGCGTATGTGTATGTATATGCAAAGATGAACATATATGTATATAAATATAAAGAGTTATGTAAGTGTGTATGTGTAGTGTTTTAGTAATATAATATAAGTTTAAACAATAATAATAACGAACAAAAAAAAGTTAGAAAGCAAATTCAATATGTCTGTGTAAAGGAAACTATTTTAAATTATTAATAAAGAAAAAACTAAAACAGTTTTTATAGAAAAGAATTTAAATATATTAAAAAAACAACTATATTTAACTAAAAAGACCATTAGAAAAAAAGTCTAATATAACAGACTTTGCCTAAGCGAGGCCGATGACTAATCACTTTTGTATTTAGATAAATTTTTTTTTAACAACAGCAAACAAACGGTTCTTTTATTATTATTATTATTATTATTATTACTATTATTATTACTTACACACAACGCTGAATAAAAATCCGCTATTAAATCAATGCTCGATAATGTCGCTAATTCAAATTAAAAAAAAATTTATAAAAAAACATTTAGCCTAAATTTGATAAAAATAACTAAAGAAGGTTAGAAATTTAAAAATAAAAAAAATAGCTCTAATATGCACAAACGACAAACAACAAAAATTAACATAAATAAATATATATATATCTTATGAACACAATATGCTAAGCAACATGTAATTAATTAACGGCAAAATTAACAATAACAACAGCAGAAACAACAGAAACAACAACAAAAATTAAGTATACATAGTACTTAAATATATACATACACCCTTATATACAAAGATTACTGGAAATTTTCATAAGGAATTATATAACAAAAGACAAAAAAAAGTAATAAGAATGATTATAAAATATATAAACAGAGAAATCACTTGCAAACGCAACCACCAAATAATATCAAGCAGAAAAAAAAAAAAAAGAAAATATAACAAAACAACAAAAAACGTTGTGTGTAGCTTATAAACAACAACAAAAAACCAACAAATAATTTTGAATGTAACATTTGAGAATGAGTGTATAATTTCTTATACTGCAATAATTTGCTAAATAAAAACAATGAAAAAAATAATTGAAAACTATTTAGTAGCCTTGAACTCCCCCCTATATGTGAAGGACAGTTCAACTGTATTAAAAATTTTCATTACTTCCTTATAGGAGCAACGCGGTTATAACAACAAAGACATTGAAAAAAATGTCGCGATCATTTTGAATCGAATAAGAGCCCTACGCATTTTCATTTTAGCTCTACGTGTGCTGTCGTCCTTAGTTTGGTAATAAGAACTAATTAAAGATAAACTTAATATTAGTATAAATAAAGATCACTTGACTTTTCATTACACTGTAGGCTGTGGTGTACGGCAAGGCTGCAAATGATAGCGTATGCATAACATACTAAACATTGTAGCCTAAATAAAGCAAAACAAATAAATAAAATGCTAAAGTGGGGCATGGCTACCATTCAATACCGTACACCATCTATACATCGTTTGCTCTTTTCTTAAAAATCGAACGCTATGGAAAATGGTTTGAATCGAAGCCCTTTTTTGACCGCTTCCCATTGAAATATTTAAAAAATTTAAAATTACTACCTTCAGGTTGTATAAAAGAAAACATGATAGACAGACGTATAGTCGGTCTTAGATCGATTGCGAAAATGCATCTGAGTTGATCGGTGTAGTAAAAGGAATATATCTCAAGTTGCATCCGCATGCACAAACTTAATATACCGTTATATGGCAAATGATGTGTAATATAAAAGAATTATTATTTCAAATTTCTAAAATGTATTCATATCGCCATATGAGTATGCGTGCTCCATACCAAACAAAGGGAATCACTTGTCAACCCATTTAAGATGGATTGCAAAGCGTATATGCGAAGCATTTCCAAAAGCAAAAAAACGGTTTGCGCACCACATGTTCTATCATATTAGGTTAAAAATAGAGTCGATTGAAATGAAAAGCGTCATGGACGCGTGTAAATATAAGATCTAATAAAAAGAGTGTCTCGAAGCTAGGACCATCAGTGCGGAAGGCAGTGATAATAAAAGGGATGGCTTGGGAACATTCAAAATAGTTGCTTACGCTTACATAGCTTTTTATGCCCATTTCTTTTTTTTATGACGTATTTTGATTAACACAAAAAAGTAAATGTTGCGGGTGTTCCGAAGTTTAAGAGGAGGATATAAATGTTTGCTCATATCCCTTCGGCTGTCTTAAAGTACTTGTCGAAGACCGCAATATCACACACAATATATATTCTCAATCAACTTAAATAATGGAATTGACTTAGCCACGTGTCTCTCTCGTTTCACTCCAAAACCTTATTAAAAAAGGATGAGAAACATACCCATTTCTTTTTTTTTTTTTGCTTTTAAAAGCAGAGTGACTTTACTTTAATGTGACTTTACGTCACATTGACAACGGGCAGATTAAAAACCAAAAGATATTCATTATATTTAGATAATTATGGGTATTAATAACAGCACCAGCATTAATAAACTATTTATTAACAGAGAAGATGTCAGTAACCACAGCCACATCTAAAAACAATCAGTGGGTAAGATACACAAGAAGAACAAGAAGATGCTGCCCAGATTGGGTGACCGCTTAAAAAAACAGATACCGAATATTCATAATACCCAAGTCAGCAGTTTCTCTGATAGGAATAAGGTATAAATGAAGATGCACAAATAGATTAAAAGCTTCTAACAATGCACTTCAGCTAGACCACAACGAACGTTGCCAATATAAAAAATAAAAAAATATTTTTTTAAAAAGCTTTAAAAGGAATGTTTAATTTATACGCCTAGACGTACTCAGAATTTGATTACGATCAATGATTTATATTTTTATAGAGTATTCTGACATTCAGGGCGTTGCAAACGTTTTGAGAAACAAGTTGGAATTTCTCTGTGCTTAATTCTGAGCAGGCGCGAACGATTCATAAAATATAGGAGCAAATTTTTATTGTTATATTTTTTGTAGTTTATAAGTAAAGCTCCAAAATCACAAAACCTTTTATAGTACGTTGTATTTCGACAGATTTGGCCCGTACCGAAGTTCTGCAAAATACACGAGAGAGGTTACAGCAGCCAACTTTTGGCCAATAGGGCTACTCGTCGTTTCCTATGTTTCGTTGCTTTTGTTGTTCCTAAACGTTCGAAAAGTAATCAGAAAGAATGGTCACATCCATTGTTCGGGGGTAACGACTAAACTGAGCCAGCTATCCCCTATCCGCAAAGCCAAAAACAAAAGAGTGATTCCTAAGAGTAAAGTCGGAAAACAAAGAACTATTTTGTCAGACATCTCTCATCTCCGTGGCTGCTGTAACAGAAACGCAAGGTCAAGCGCGTTGTGTCACACTCTCTTAAAGTCGCAATCGCCATCGTTGTCCCGCTACGCAGTTGCTCTGCCTGTCCTGTTACCGACCGACACACATTATAAGATATATATATTAATACTATCTTATGTATGTTTAGTATGTTTATCGCTTCCTTACAACTTTTATTAAATATTGTTGATTATTGATTTACTTAATTACGGAAGATATTTAAGGCAAATTAAGCTAGAAAAGTTAGCAATTCGTTAATTTTTCAAACAATTGTGATGCAAATGTTACCACAACTTGTAGCTTTCAATAGCGTAAATAATGCCCTAAGTCCGAAAATTGAAAATCGCTAAGTATAAAAAAGGAAAAAATAAGTTAACAGCATTGATTCAAAGAGAAACGTCAAAAAAAAAACAAGTCAAAAGATTTTGCAGAAAATAATATATTTTTTTGCATATTGTTTATTCATTAAGTCCAGGAAGAATAAATTAACAAATCCTATAAAATTAATAACAGCAAGTAAGGGAAATTTAAATATGCGTCTCGGCTTTAATAAGAGAGATCAACGCAACGCAATCCTATATCCTATTTGTGAGCAACGGAAAAAAGTTGCATATGAAATATATCGATGTAACTTTGGTAACTTTATCGCCATTTAATAAATGAGAATTAAATGAATTGCGTTTTAATTCAAAATAAGGAAATAAACAGAATCACATACTTAGCATAACTTAGTTAAGAAGCGAAGTTTTCCTCCGATTTTCCACTTACGATTACATTTCGTTTAACGTGTTTAAAAAGAAGTTATTAACAGAATCACAAACGAAACATTTACCATGAATTCGTGATTTCTTCGTGATTTCTATCTATATATACAATATTATTATTATTATTAATTTCGCCAGAGAAACCAATTTTAAGATTAAACTCTTTAAAAGCACTAGCATCTAGGCCTATCGGCTTTTATTAAAAACTCTACCGCACTTGAGATTCGAACCCACGACCATTGACTTGCTAGTCGAGATTCCTCGCCTTCGGCTACTCAGGCGGATATATATATGTATAGAAAGCAGTATAAGTAGGGAATGTGAGGAAATCAATACTAGAATTAACACTTTTATCGAGGTCTAGTTTTTCTCAAGTTTATTTCGACTTTACGATAAGCAACGTAATTTTACTAGTTGTGAGTTATTTCTTAAAAAAGAAGAAGAAGAAAAACACATTAGTATAACTACTATTTGTGATAATAATACATTAATAATTGGACGAAAAATAGTCTCACGAATGTTTTGAAAAACAATTATGTTAATTACTTCGTTTGTAAATTTAAAATACAGTTAAGAGTACAACAACACAAACGTCACAAGTCAATTCTTATTAATTTCAGAAACTGTGTTCGATATTTAATAACAAATTTTATAGTTGTAATATTAACTACGATAACTAAGTCAATCTTAAATAAAAAAAATAGCCAAGTTGTTTACTGTTATAAACAAAAAAAAGGAGAAAAAACAAACATGAGTTTTGTTTTGAAATTTCAAAAGATTGGAGCAAAATTTATTAAAATCAGTTTCCGATTAAGAATCATGTTTTGCTTACTGGTAATCTTGGCATTATCTGGGTTAATGTTTAACATGTACTACACTCCAGATATGCGCTATTGTTTTGTGGACACCTTGGCAGCACAAGTCGAGGAGTTAAGAGAAAAGCCAAAGAAACTAGAAGATATATTATTGGCTGATGCGCTTCCTCTTGCCGGTCATAGTATTTTTTTCCACGAGACAAGTTGTCCCTCAACAATTAAATCAATTACCAAAAAATTGCCAACGGCAGAACCGCATATTGAAAATTACGTTAACTACGTAGAATTAACGGCGCGACAGGCTTGCTCAGTTGAATCTGCTGCTTTCCACAATCCCAAAACAAATGTATATGTTCTTTATGCCAGTCCACGTTATCAATTGGCAAATATAACAGCGGATCCCATATTGAGTGCCGTGTTAAGTTATAAAAATGTACGTTTACGGAATGTGAATATGTGGACTTATGCGGCAACCACACCATTGTATAAATGGCTTAAAGATGGAGAACTTTTCAAATCCAGGTATATTGTGGATCAATAATAATAGTTGTTTTCATAATTAATTTGAGATTTCAGCTATGTTTTCTCACATGCGTCCGATTTTTTGCGCTATTTAACATTATGGCGTTGGGGTGGCACATATCTCGACATGGATACTATAATGTTGCGTTCTATTGAAAATATGCCACCCAACTTTGTCGGAGCTGAATCAACCCGTAATTTGGCTGCAGGGGTGATGAATTTTGCACCAGATGGCTTTGGTCACGAAATATCCGAATTATGTCTTTCCGATTTCGAGAGAAATTTTAAAGGCAATAATTGGGGCAATAATGGTCCGGGTGTTATAACCCGTGTAATGCGAAAAGTTTGTGATACTGAGACAATTGCACTAATGCTCGATCCGAAACGTTGTAAAGGCTTTCATATATTTGATCGAAACATTTTCTATGCGATATCTTGGGAAGAATGGCGTGATTTTTTCGAACCAGAAAAAATGGAAAAAACATTAGATCGCACCCACCATTCGTACATAGCTCATTTCTGGAATAAAAAATCTGTCGACTTTCCCGTTAAAGTAGGCATCAAAAGTGCTTTTACAACTATGGCTGCAAATAATTGCCCGCACGTATATAAAGCAATCATCAATCATTTCTCTCAATTTTAGCCGCGCTTACGTTTCAAATGTATATAAAGTTATATTTTTCTAGTCAACGCGATCAACTAATATGTAACCAAATAATAAAATAAAAT